CTGCTGCCCAGGCTTTCAGGAGGGGCCCGGCCGGAGCGGCCTCCTTCAGCCAGCGCCCCCTGAGAGGGTGAGGCTCGGGCATCAGGGTGCGGCCACCGGGCAGCCGCCTCTGAATAAGCTCACATTTATAATGCACGCCCCCTCCCCACACCGCCAAGGGGAAATGCACAAGATGAGTGGAGAGCACGCGCACGCACACGTGTTGCACGGCTGCTAATAGCCGCACGCACCTGCAGGCGGGAGAGCAGGGAGCCCCGCAGCGGGGAGCGTGGCCTCAGGGCCTCAGGCGCTGGAGACCCCGGCAGCCCAGCTGGGTATCCAGGGCTCCCTGAAAAGCTGCATCCCCGGCAAGCCTGTGTCACGGGCGGCGTGTGTTTGGCGTGTCCTGCAGATGAGATGCGTGAGTCTGTGTCACGGGCGGCGTGTGTCTGGCATGTCCTGCAGATGAGATGCGTGAGCCTGTGTCACGGGCGGCGTGTATCTGGCGTGTCCTGCAGATGAGATGCGTGAGTCTGTGTCACGGGCGGCGTGTGTCTGGCATGTCCTGCAGATGAGATGCGTGAGCCTGTGTCACGGGCGGCGTGTATCTGGCGTGTCCTGCAGATGAGATGCGTGAGTCTGTGTCACGGGCGGCGTGTGTCTGGCATGTCCTGCAGATGAGATGCGTGAGCCTGTGTCACGGGCGGCGTGTATCTGGCGTGTCCTGCAGATGAGATGCGTGAGTCTGTGTCACGGGCGGCGTGTGTCTGGCATGTCCTGCAGATGAGATGCGTGAGCCTGTGTCACGGGCGGCGTGTATCTGGCGTGTCCTGCAGATGAGATGCGTGAGTCTGTGTCACGGGCGGCGTGTGTCTGGCATGTCCTGCAGATGAGATGCGTGAGCCTGTGTCACGGGCGGCGTGTATCTGGCGTGTCCTGCAGATGAGATGCGTGAGTCTGTGTCACGGGCGGCGTGTGTCTGGCATGTCCTGCAGATGAGATGCGTGAGCCTGTGTCACGGGCGGCGTGTATCTGGCGTGTCCTGCAGATGAGATGCGTGAGTCTGTGTCACGGGCGGCGTGTGTCTGGCATGTCCTGCAGATGAGATGCGTGAGCCTGTGTCACGGGCGGCGTGTATCTGGCGTGTCCTGCAGATGAGATGCGTGAGTCTGTGTCACGGGCGGCGTGTGTCTGGCATGTCCTGCAGATGAGATGCGTGAGCCTGTGTCACGGGCGGCGTGTATCTGGCGTGTCCTGCAGATGAGATGCGTGAGTCTGTGTCACGGGCGGCGTGTGTCTGGCATGTCCTGCAGATGAGATGCGTGAGCCTGTGTCACGGGCGGCGTGTATCTGGCGTGTCCTGCAGATGAGATGCGTGAGTCTGTGTCACGGGCGGCGTGTGTCTGGCATGTCCTGCAGATGAGATGCGTGAGCCTGTGTCACGGGCGGCGTGTATCTGGCGTGTCCTGCAGATGAGATGCGTGAGTCTGTGTCACGGGCGGCGTGTGTCTGGCATGTCCTGCAGATGAGATGCGTGAGCCTGTGTCACGGGCGGCGTGTATCTGGCGTGTCCTGCAGATGAGATGCGTGAGTCTGTGTCACGGGCGGCGTGTGTCTGGCATGTCCTGCAGATGAGATGCGTGAGCCTGTGTCACGGGCGGCGTGTATCTGGCGTGTCCTGCAGATGAGATGCGTGAGTCTGTGTCACGGGCGGCGTGTGTCTGGCATGTCCTGCAGATGAGATGCGTGAGCCTGTGTCACGGGCGGCGTGTATCTGGCGTGTCCTGCAGATGAGATGCGTGAGTCTGTGTCACGGGCGGCGTGTGTCTGGCATGTCCTGCAGATGAGATGCGTGAGCCTGTGTCACGGGCGGCGTGTATCTGGCGTGTCCTGCAGATGAGATGCGTGAGTCTGTGTCACGGGCGGCGTGTGTCTGGCATGTCCTGCAGATGAGATGCGTGAGCCTGTGTCACGGGCGGCGTGTATCTGGCGTGTCCTGCAGATGAGATGCGTGAGTCTGTGTCACGGGCGGCGTGTGTCTGGCGTGTCCTGCAGATGAGATGTGTGAGCCTGTGTCACAGGCTGCGTGTGTCTGGCATGTCCTGCAGATGGGATACGTGAGCCTGTGTCACGGTTTGTGTGTGTTTGGTGTGTCTTGCAGATGAGATGCGTGAGCCTGTGTCACGGTTTGTGTGTGTTTGGCGTGTCCTGCAGATGAGATGCGTGAGCCTGTGTCACAGGCTGCGTGTGTCTGGCGTGTCCTGCAGATGAGATGTGTGAGCCTGTGTCACGGGCGACGTGTGTTTGGCGTGTCCTGCAGATGAGATGTGTGAGCCTGTGTCACGGGCGACGTGTGTTTGGCGTGTCCTGCAGATGAGATGTGTGAGCCTGTGTCACGGGCGACGTGTGTTTGGCGTGTCCTGCAGATGAGATGTGTGAGCCTGTGTCACGGGCGACGTGTGTTTGGCGTGTCCTGCAGATGAGATGTGTGAGCCTGTGTCACGGGCGACGTGTGTTTGGCGTGTCCTGCAGATGAGATGTGTGAGCCTGTGTCACGGGCGACGTGTGTTTGGCGTGTCCTGCAGATGAGATGTGTGAGCCTGTGTCACGGGCGACGTGTGTTTGGCGTGTCCTGCAGATGAGATGTGTGAGCCTGTGTCACGGGCGACGTGTGTTTGGCGTGTCCTGCAGATGAGATGTGTGAGCCTGTGTCACGGGCGACGTGTGTTTGGCGTGTCCTGCAGATGAGATGCGTGAGCCTGTGTCACGGTTTGTGTGTGTTTGGCGTGTCCTGCAGATGAGATGTGTGAGCCTGTGTCACGGTTTGTGTGTGTTTGGCGTGTCCTGCAGATGAGATGTGTGAAACTCTCATGTCAAGACTGATTTCAAAGATGGAGACTGTCCCAGGCCTTCCTGTTGGCCTCCATAGCTGCCCGTGGCCTCTCCATCAATAGCTGCCCGACATCTCCGGGCTCTGGAACAGGGAAGCCGGGGTCAGAGCCCGGCCCTTCCTCACCCCTGGCCCTCAGCACCGCGGGGCCAGCTGGGGTCCGGCCAGACACCTCCCTGGAGGGGCAGAGGCCGGGGGCCCGGTGCACACGGCCCAGCCACATTCCTGCCCTCACCCGGGCCCAGCCAAGAGGAAGTCCCGAGACCCGGGCAGGGTTGGGGGCACGGGTTTCCCAGGGCCCACCAGCCTGAGCAGGAAGTTGGCCGGGGCTCGGCCCATTAGTTGAGCAAACAGCACGTTCTCAGGAGGACAGGGCGGGGGAGGCCCGGCCCCGGGGAGGGGCAAGGATGGGGTATATGAAGCCCCAGGGCCAGACTCCGGGCAGCGTGTCAGGTCCAGGAGCGTCCTAGGAGCCCAGCCGCCATGAAGCTCGCCGCTGCCTTCCTGGTGCTCAGCGTGGCCCTGCTCAGCCAGCCCAGTGAGTGCCCCCAGGCCTGGGCCCACGGTCCTCCCAGTGGCTCTGCCTGGCCCAGCCCCCCTCCAGCAGGTCCCGGCCCTGCTGCCTCTGCACCCACCCAGGCACCAGGCTCTGCAGGCCCGTCCTGTGGGCCCCTCCCACCCCGGTTCTCCTCTTTGCCCACCCACCGCAGCCTCTCCCAGCCGCAGGCGGTGTGAGTGCTGGCCTGGTCTGGAAACATCATGGCTCTGTCACCCTCCCACGCCAGCCCAGGGGTCCCCTCCTCTGGGAACCTGTCCAGGGGTCCCCTCCTCTGGGAACCTGCCCAGGGGTCCCCTCCTCTGGGAACCTGCCCAGGGGTCCCCTCCTCTGGGAACCTGCCCAGGCCCCCACAGAGCTCACCTCCCGCCCTCCCCCGCAGCCAGCTCCTGGCCCTGTCCAGCCAGCTCCCTGCAGCCACAGCTCTGCGGTCGGTCAAGTGGGTGGCCGGGTGCTGGCAGGTTTCAAAGGCCCTGTCACCTCCCGGAGGCGATGGGCCCTCAGCAGCTCTCCTGGGGATGGCCGGGTGGGTGACGCTCCTCCATCTGCAGCTGCAGCCTTCTTCATGAACATGGCGGCCAAGCCCACGGTCCCGAGCGCGGCTGCCCTTGAGCCTGCGGCTGCCCTTGCGCCTGTGGCTGCCCTTGCGCCGGCACTTGCACCTGCCCTTGCACCTGTGGCTGCCCTGGAGGCTGGGGCCGAGAATGTGGCCGGGGCTGCGGCCTCCTCCTACTTCAAGGGCTTCAACCCCCTGAGGTTCATCCTGGCCAGCATGGGCATCAACGTGGACCGCCTGGTGGAGGGCTCCAGGAAGTGTGTGACCGAGGTGGGCCCAGACGCCATGGGGGCCATGGGGGCCGTGAAGGCGCTACTGGTGAGTGGGGCGCCTGCCACCTCCCTTTGTGCGCCGCCCTCCCCGGGTGAGCACCCCGTCCGCCCTCGAATCCCTGACAGGGCCACCTCGTTTTCCGCCCCCGTGGGAACTGGGAGGACCAGCCATATGGGCCTGGGGAAGGGGCAGGTACGCACCAGGTGCTGGCAGCCACCTGTGCCTGTCCCCGCAGAGCAGGTGGTGTGGTCACCCGCGCAGGGAAACACTCAACCATGGCTTCTTTCCAGGGAGCCCTGACCTACTTCGGCTGAGCGGCAGCTGGAGCATCCCTGCCCGCCGGTGACCAGATGCTGCCGCCTTCAGGCGGGGCACCTGCACCAGCCCCACCCTCTCCCTCCCCCTCAATAAACAGTTAAGAGCAGCTCTGGGCTGATGTCTTCTCGCCTCAATGCCCGTCCCTCCCCTGCTGTGAGCCTGAGCTGAAGGGAGAGGGGCTGGGCCTGGGAGGGGCTGGGCTGGTCCCTACACCTGGGAGGGGCACGGAGAGACGGAGGGAGAGACTACTGACATTTGGGCGGGGGGGCACCCAGCCAGCAATGAAAGGAGACAAGGACTGGGCAAGTACCAATTTAGACTGCGTTTGAAAACTCGGTTGGGAATTTTTCCTCGTTCTGGTCTGTAAATGTCCATGAAGCATGGGAATTTTCTAACCCTCGAAGATTAGCAAGAACTCTCCCAACAGCCCTGGCAGGTTTGGCTCAGTGGTTAGAGTGCCGGCCCATGGACCGAAGGGTCTCGGGTTTGATTCCCGGTCAAGAGCACAAGAACACGTGCCTCAGTTTCAGGTCCGACCCCCGGCTCAGGTTGTGGCATGTGCTGGAGGCAGCCAACCAATGTGTCTCTCTCACATGGGTCTTCCTCTCTCCCACCCTCCTCCTCTCTCTAAAAATCAATGGAAAAACATCCTCGGGTGACGATTAAAAACAAAAACCTCTCCAGACAACGCCATTTCTTGCTAATATTTGAAAGTGTTTGTTTTCCTCCCTTAATCTCAGTTTCTCTCCTGGGAGGGGCAGGATTGAGGGCCATGAAAGTCTACAGACTTTTTGCTTTCCCTGTGGTTTCAGTGAAGTAACCTCATGGCCGAGGTTCCTTCTGTCTCCTGGAGGACTGTCCTCGTGGTGGGGAGGCCCCATGGTGGGGAGGGCCCATGGTGGGGAGTGCCCCATGGTGGGGAGGCCCCGTGGTGGGGAGGACCCGTGGTGGGGAGGCCCCGTGGTGGGGAGGCCCCGTGGTGGGGAGGGCCCATTCTGAGCCGAGTAAAGCTCTGCTCTGGACAACGCGGCGGTGAGAGAGGCCTCCCTGCGCAGCGCGGGTGCAGAAGGCGGTGGGGACAGGGCCTCGCGGGCCAGTCGCTCCCGACACCACACACCCAGGCTCTCGGCGGCCGGTCCGGTAACAGTTCCTGTTATGCTACAGGAGTCGCTGGGTCTGCCGTGGGCTTGACAAAGTTCCCATCCCGAGTGGCCCGGCTGCCTCCCACCTGGAGAACCTCCCCTGGAAACGGTGGTGGGGGGGAGATCGCAGTGCTGGCAGGAGAAGGAGACCCTGAGAATCATGGGAAGCCCCAAGGCCACCTGCCAGGTCCAGCTCCCCGCCTTCTGCAGGTTCCTGGGAAAAGAGACCAACCATAATCCTGGGGAAGAGAAAGCTATTTAAATATCTTATTTTGCTAGTTTCCCTTTGTAACCATGTAAAGATCTTCCTTGATATAAACTACAAAAATTTAAAGCAACTTAAAAAAATTCAAATTAGCCGAAACCGGTTTGGCTCAGTGGATAGAGCGTCGGCCTGCGGACTGAAAGGTCCCAGGTTCGATTCCGGTCAAGGGCATGTACCTGGGTTGCGGGCACATCCCCAGTAGGAGATGTGCAGGAGGCAGCTGATCGATGTTTCTCTCTCATCGATGTTTCTAACTCTCTATCTCTCTCCCTTCCTCTCTGTAAAAAATCAATAAAATATATTTAAAAAAAATTCAAATTATAACAAGAAACCAATAAACCTAACTTTGTTTCCCGTGGTGGTAGAAGCAGCATGAAACTACAGGGATTTAACTCCACCTCCGGGGCTGGGCGTGGGTCCCCGGGCAGGACAAGACTGTGCAAACTTCTCTTGTTGGCGGCACGGCCACACGGAGGCCATTCTCCACCTGCTCTGTGATAAGTCAAATGAGTCCTCACACCAGTGTCACTGAAACCTGAGATTTCTGGTAAAGGTGAAAGTAGACGCTGATATAGGATCATTGCCCGGCCGCGTGGCTATGGTTGAGCAGCGACCTACGAACCAGGAGGTCACAGTTCAATTCTTGGTTGGGGCACATGCCCAGGCTGTGGGCTCAATCCCCAGTGTGGGGCGTGCAGGAGGCAGCCAATAAATTATTCTCTCTCACCATTGATGTTTCTCTCTCTCTTCTGAAATCAATAAAAATATTTAATTAAAAAAAAGAAAAAAAAGAAAGAAAGCAAGGCTGGTGTACCCTCCAGCAGAATAGTGTTCAGAAAAAATAAAAAAGATCATGAAGGGTTAAGTTAAAACCTTATAGCTTGATCTGAACTGGAAGTATAATTGTCCGATGTAGTTTACCTCATCGGCCTCCTGAAAGGACCGAGAAACCGACCAATCAGGCGGCAATGAGAATCGTGCGTCCTGGGAGTGGCCTCCAGTTACCATTTCCCACCAGAGGAAGGAGGAGTCGTTGGAGCGATGTCCAGTTCCAGGCCTGGAGCAGCCAATGTAAACCTGTATGTCTTTTCATACCTGAACAGAGGGAGGCTGACAGACGATCAGGATTGTGCTGAAAAGACAGTGCCATCTGAATAAAGCTCCCCGGCCAATTCGAACATCACAGATGGTAATAAGTACAAGGGACGGAACTCATCCAATATGATTAAGTCCATGTTTTTTATTTTTAAAATACATTTTTATTGATTTCAGAGAGGAAGGGAGAGGGAGAGATAGAAACATCAATGATGAGAGAGAATCACTGATTGGCTGCCTCCTGCATGCCCCCTCCTGGGGATTGAGCCCGCAACCCAGGCATGTGCCCTTGACCAGAATCAAACCTGTGACCCTTCAGTCCGCAGGCTGACGCTCTATCCACTAAGCCAAGCCGGCTAGGGCTGAGTCCATGTTTTAATACAGGGAAAAGGAGTCTGTATGGTAGCCTTTGGAGGACAAGGGAAATAAACCCATTAACTTGTAAACTGGTAAATACCAGTATATATTTTTAAATGCTTACCACTTTAAAATGTACGCTGAAGTATCTACAGGTGAAATGCTATGTCTGGACTTGGCTTCGAAATAACCCAGGGTGTGCAGAACGGGGGCTAGTTGAACCAAGAGTGATGGGTGAGTCCAGCTTGGTGATGGGTGAGTCCAGTCCACTAGATTGTCCTTGCACTTTGGTGTATGTCAGAGACACTTCAAAATAGAAAGTTTAAAAAGGAAAGAGCCCTAACCGGTTTGGCTCAGTGGATAGAGCGTCGGCCTGCGGACTGAAAGGTCCCAGGTTCGATTCCGGCCAAGGGCATGTACCTTGGTTGCAGGCACATCCCCAGTAGGGGGTGTGCAGAAGGCAGCTGATCGATGTTTCTCTCTCATCGATGTTTCTGGCTCTCTATCCCTCTCACTTCCTCTCTGTAAAAAATCAATAAAAAAGTATAAAAAATAAAAATTAAAAATAAAAAATAAATAAAAAGGAAAGAGTAAAAGAAAACTCAGAGAACACATGCAACACAACTGGTAAAGGAAAATTGTTCTGAGAATATAAAGAATTATGAATCAACTGTAAATGGGCAAAATCCTCAAGAGACATGAAATCATAAGGAGAACCTGAAATAGCAAAACAAAAGGAAAACATCCTTTATTATTAAGGGGAATATACATTGAAACTATAATGAAATGCTATTATTCCCACCAGATTACCAAAAATGAAGTCAGCCAAAAATGAGTGCTGGCAAAGTTGTGCAACAATGAAAAGCTACCTCCTGAACTGCCGGCGGGTAAGTGGGGACACACTCCGGATGGGGTGAAGCAATCCGAAGGAGCAACGTGTATGTGTCGAAGCCCTCGCACCGTGGCACCTACTGGAATGTTCAGAGCGGAATGGTTTGTAAGGGGACAGGGGAGGAAGAAAACTATAAATGACTCAAATATACTTGCAGAGAAGAATGGATAAATACATTTTGGGATATCCATATAATGAAAATAAATTAAGTATAGCTATTAGAATTGCATGCATTTACGTGAACGAATCTCAACAACATACTGACCAAATAATTCAAGCCCCATAAAGGTGATACAAAAGATTTCATTTACATGTGTTTTGTTTTTAATTTTGATAAACCCTAATTAATCTACCTTTTCCTTTAGTTCCTTTGCTTTTAAGATGTTTTACCCAAGAAACTATTGCCTAAACCAGCATCATATTTATATCTATGTATTTTTCAAAGAATTTAAAAAAGTTTTAGCTCTTACATTGAGATTTTGGATTAATTTTTGTATATGGTTTGAGGTAGGGGTCCAACTTCATTCTTTTGCTTGTGAATTTTCAGCTGTCCAGCACCGTTGTTGGACACTATCCTTCCCCTTATTGAGATGTCTCGGTGCCTCTGTCACAAATCAAATACCATAAGTATGAATGTTTATTTCTGAGCTCTCAATTCACTTCCATTGATCCATATGCCATCCTTATGTCAATATTACTACTGTCTTACAACGCTGTGGCTGTTTAATATGCTTTCAAACCAAGAACTTAAGTCCTCCAACTTTGTTTTTTCAAGATTATTTGGCTATTTGAGGGTCTTTAGTACACTTTGTACATGAATTTTAAGATCAGCTTGTCAATTTCTACAACAAAAGGTAAGTAGGGCTTCTGATAGGTACTGCATTGAATCTGTAGATCAATTTGGAGTATCACCATCTTAACAGTATTGTGTTCTCAATCCATAAACATGAAATGTCTTTCCATGCATTTACATCTTTCAATGTTTTATACTTTTTAGGGTGCAAGTTGTTTTCTTTTATTAACTTTACTAGAGGCCCAGTGCACAAATTCATGCATGGGTGGGGTCCAGCTGGCCCCTCCCCCAAAAGGGGTGGATGGGGTCGATTGGGGGAAGGGCCAGCTGGGGGGAGGAGCCACAGGCAATTGGCTGGCCAGCCCCGCCCCCTGGTCGAACTCCGGGTCAAGGGGACAATTTGCGTATTAGCCTTTTATTATATAGCATTCCTAATTACTGTTATAAATAAAATTATTTTCTTAATTTTGTTTTTGGTTTGTTCATTGCTAGTGAACAACTGCTTTTTATATATTGATCTTCTAACCTTGCTGAACTCACTTATTAGTTCTAATAGA